CACTCAAGATCATTGCTTTTTGCTAGGGGTCTCCTGGTGCCATCGTGGGCCGTCGGGACGGCATCTCGAGGCGTATTGATGCGCTCTTGGGCTGTTCTGGGTGCCTTATTAGCCCGTCTGGATTTTGGGCCCTGGAACAGTCATGCAGAACGCCCCGGGAAACTCGCGCCACGCCAAAGAATCTGGGAAGTTGGGGTCTGGGCGCCTTCATAGCTGCTGAGAGACAGAGCAAAGCGGAGGTGAGGAGACTCCAACTCGTGCCTCGCGGCACGGCGGCGGGTATTGTGCTGTGCGGACTGAGCGCACGGGAGACCACATCGAAAAACATGCGGAAGGGATTGCACGACAGACCATGCGGGGGCCCAACACACGGGGAGACCATGCGGAAACTTCTACGGGAGACCGGACGGTATACCATCCGGGAGGCCATACGGGAAACGATCTGCGAGACCATGTGGGGGGCCACACGGGAGATCATACGGTAGACCAGGCGGGAGATCGTGCGGGAGAGCATGCGGGTCACAGTGCGCAGCACGGGAGCCCATACCGGAGGCCATACGGGAGACCATCTGCGAGAGCAGACGGGAGACCAGATCGGAAGTCAGACGTTCGACCATACGGGAGGCCACACGGGAGATTGGCCGGGAGACCATAGCGGGAGTGCTTCTGAGGCCTGTAACGCCTTGGGAGCCTCCGAGGGAGTCATCCATAGCAGAATTTCTCGTGGGGTGGCCTGCTTGCGAGCGACTGCCAATGTCCAGATCCACTGTAGCCCCCAAGATACTGGCCACGCAACAGCCACGGCAGCGCAACACCTACAGCTGACCAAGTCGGAGACCATACGTGAGACCATGCGGGGACACCAACCGATTCCGGGTCAAGAGGAGTTCACACGTGCCTTGAGACAATCTGTCTGACTTTCAGACAGGTTGCTCAGTGAGCATCGGATGTTTCATTTCTATGACCTGGGTTTTTGGACGGTTGGAGGCCTCTTGGAGGAGTCTCGCTGCCGCCGCTGAATCCCCTTTGGCCTTCTGGCCTGAGCGCAACTGCAACAAGCGGGTCGGGAGCCACGAGACGTCAGTGCAAGCGGGGGTCACGGTCGCATTGACCCGTGTTCGCGCGCAGATTCCTGCAGCATCTTGCAGAGTCTGATTGGCCCGGGTTTGCACTGACGCAGGTCAGCGCGTCCCCGAGAGGGGCCCGCCGGTTCGAAGAGTGAGTCCCGATGGCCGACCGAGCAGGGACAAAACACACAGAGACACAATGAATCGTCCATTCCCCAGAAAAGATGGGAAACTATATGGGAAGAGGGGGGGGGAAGACAGAAAGCGAGAAAAAACAGGAAAAGATGGGGAATCCTGATGTTTGTGTGTATTTAGTTGTGTGTCCCAGGGCCCCTTCACAGGAGAAGTTGCATCCGCATAGCTGCGCAAACCTCGGCGTGCGGAGGTCCGCCCCTGGCGGCGCGCCCCCCGCGGTTTGGAGGCGCGGCTCGGGGCGGGCCTCGCGCGCCAGGGAGGGCGAGTTCTCCAGCGCCGCCGACCCCAGGAATCCGCGCGGGCCTGCCAACGTTTGCTGGGTAGTCGAAGGCCAGACTGTCAGAGTGGATTGGGCCCCAAGGGCCAATCTGGCCTGGCCAAACTGGATGATTTGGGTTATTCGCCAGACTGGATTCGCGTTGGCTCCCTCGCCAGATTGCCCCCGTTTGCCAGATTGGGCCTGCCAGATTGGCGCCAGATTGGCTTCGACTACCTAGCTTTGTGCGCGTCTGCGCTTCTTATCGCACAATCGATCCACGGTCGAGGTTCGAGGATCTCGTGCGGCGAAGGCCTTGTGGCCAGGGCCGCCGACCCTGTTCGCCAGGCTGCGGAGGAGGAAGCAGGTGGAGGGGAACAGGAGAGCGGGGACGGGGACGACGACGAAGACGCTTCAGAAGGAAAAGCGTCAAGGGCGAGAAATCATGTTGAAAGAGAGAGGTGCTCCCCACGTGGGGGCACAACCCCCTGCCCCCCCGCCCCCCCTCTGATAGAGGTTTGAGTATTTCGCATGTCCTGCGTTTTGTTCTTTTGGAGCTTCTGGGTGGACCTCCCACTCCTGACAAGAGGGAGCTCTTGAGACCCTGGAAGCCGTCCACAGGTCCTCCTGCAGAACCTCCGAGGTGTCGAGGATCGAGACGTCTGCCCGTTCTCTCCCTCGCGGCGGCGCGAGGATCGGGAGGGAAGCGTGGCGACGGCGACCCCGACCTCGAGCGCCCTGAAACATCCCTGGCATCGCTCGGACGTGTGCGTTTTTTCCTCGGCGAGGACCATCGAGGAGCATCCTTGACCATTTGCAGAAAAAAACACGCACGAAACTCACAAAAAAAACACAGGGAATGGACGTCCGAGCGATGGCGAGCATCAGGGCGGCCAGTTGCCGTCCCTCTCTTCGGCCTCCGCTGGGCACGGGCTGATCGACGCCAGGGGCCGCCCACGGAGGCGCGAACCGGGGACGAGCAACGCTGGTCCCATCAGGGGAGGGGCCGAGAGCTCTCGGGGGATCGCGCAGCGTGGTACTGGGCCCCGAATCATCAGGGGTAACTCGGGTCAGGGCTAACTCGGGTTCGTTTTTCGGGAATCCGAACCCGAGTTACCCCGGACCCGAGTTACCCCGGATAATTCGGGCGTCCAGAGCCCCACATCATCAGGGGTAACTCGGGTCAGGGCTAACTCGGGTTCTTTTTTCGGGAATCCTAACCCGAGTTACCCCGGACCCGAGTTACCCCGGATAATTCGGGCGCCCAAGTGGTTCTGGGCCTCCCATCTTGGATCCGACCAGGGTTGGGTCAGGGGATTGTGCCGAATCGCCGATGCATCGGCGATGCGGCTCGATGTGGATCCCGCGTTGCTTCACGTCGACGTCGCCGGTGCAACGCCGACGTGGCCGATGCATCGTCGATGCATGGCCGATGCAGCGTCGATGCGGCGCGACCCGCCGACACCATCTATGCGGACCCCATCTGGGAGGTCTCGATCGGAAAAGTAGAGACATCGGAGCTACGGCGCGGGAGGGATGATGAGTATCAATGACACGCGCGTCTTCCCTCGAACCATGCGTATTGGCTTACTCTTTTGCCCTCTATTGGAATATGAGTCAATCGTGACACGCTGACGAGGTCGCTCGACCGGCGTGACACTGATACCCGGCGTGACGCCGAGCGGGTAAGTGAGAGGGGGCAGGCCTTCTCGGACATCGGCGGGGCGCTTCAGAAGTCCCTTGGCATTCTAAGGAGCCGTCTGTGTCCTCTGAGAAGGCTCAGAGGGCTTCTCAGAGGGCCGAGCCGAGCCTTCTGAGAAGTCCCGCCCTCTCTCTCATATCCACCCTGGGCGCGCCGCCGACGTCTTGTTTTTGCATTCCAAACGGCGACGGCGTCGCCGCGACCTCGAGGAATTGCAAGTCTTTGGCACACCTCGTCTCTGATCCTCCGAGGGAATGGGGGGGGCTTGTGTCGATGATCCTCAGGACGCGTATTAGCCCGATGTGTGTGTGTGTGTGCGCGTGTGTGTGTGTGTGTGTGTGTCGCCCCAGTCAGCTCCACCGATGGATCATTACATCGCCTGCGTCGTATTGAAGGGTCTCGATGGACAAGCACACGTTGTCGCTGACACTTGCTCTGGGGATCATCGTTTGTGGCCACGACGCCCGAGTGCGGCTCGGGAGGCCGGGCCAGGCGCGGTTCGGGAGTCCTTCTTGGCTGGTGTCCAGGAGTTCTTCGGGGGATGGATTCGGTATTGCCGACCGGAAACGATGGGCACGGAGATCGTGCGTAAATGCCCTCGTGTCCAATGTGGCGTGCCGCGCTGGCGGCCCGCGTAAGCCACCGCGTAAGGCCGCTCTGCCACTTCGCTTAAGATCCCTCGCTTTTCGTCGCTCAGACAGATGGGTTCGGAGCAGGCGGGGCGCAGTAGCGCGCCGCGTCGCCGATGCATCGGCAATGCTGCTCGATGTGGAGCCCGGATTTCTCCACGCCGGTTTTGCTGATGCATCGGCGATGTCGGCGCGATTCTCCGATCCCATCTGGGAGGTGTCTAGTACAGAAGGAAGGGCACGAAGACCGACAGCACTTCTTGTCCATTTTGAACAGGAATAATTGTCTGCGTCGCTGCGGGCGTTGTCCACAGTTGCCTGCCCAACAGCGACCGCTGTCGGATTTGGACAACATGCGTTGTTGGACGCTGTGCCAATTCTTTCCAAGAGTTATCAAGGGGCCTGATTTGAGCGAGAGTCTCGATGAGGCCAAGACGGCGACGACGACGACGGCAATCATCCTCCCTCTTTCTCGTAGAAGAAATCATAAAACTTGCATAAACATTCAATGTTCTGGATCCGCGCGGACATCTTGGATCGGCGCTGGGCACTTTTGGCAGCGCCGGGTCCAGCGCCGATCCACCAAATCCGCGCAGATTCCGGAATGTTGATGTCAAAGTATGCTGAGTTCTTTTCTTCTATTCCCCTCCTCGTGCTTTGGGGTACCCCGTCGAGATCATACGAAGCCATGTGTTTGGGGACGGGGCTTTCGGAGCCAACAGGAAGGGATGCGGGAGTCAGGCGATCGCAAACATGGATCAAGGGGGCGTGGAATAGCGACGGGTTTCGTTTCCATGGGAGATCGCGGATCTCCGCCGCCGAAGGAGGCGGCACCAGCCTTTTTTTGGGGGGGCTAATCCATATTTGCGCGCCCCGGAGGGGGGGAGGAGGCAACGAGGGAGAGAGTAAGATAGGGAGGAGGCACGAGGGCGAGCGTAAGATAGGGAGGAGGCACCAGAGAGAGTGTAAGATAGTGTAAGATAGGGAGAGCGCAAGACGCCGAGATGAGCCAGAGGGAGAGAAAGAGAGGCGAGGGGCAGGCCCTGCATAATCGGGGGTGCCCGGCCTCCTCTTCCGCCTTCTTCTCCTTCGCCTCCGTTTCTGCTTCCGGGGAGCGTGCGCCCGTCTGCTGCCTGCTCTTGTGTCGCGAGGTGGAGCTGGGGAAGTGCACCGGCAATTGCGAGTTCGGTGCGCCACCCCTCCTGATCTGGGCGAGCCTATCTCAGCACCTCACCACCTGCTGTGCCACTGTCCGTGTTCGTCTGCCGTCCTGGTTGCGTCGAGATTGGGACCAGTGCTGCGGTTATTGCTGTCATTGTTGTTGTTGTTCATGGTGTTGGTAATGTTGGTGTTGCTGTGGTTTTTGCTTGTCGCTGCGCTGGCTTATTTGCTCGTTTGTTCGATCTGGTTGATTTTATTATTTTTGTCGCTTGTCTGCTTGCGCGCTTGATTACTAGTGCTGTGGTATGAGGCTGCAGTCGTCATTGTCATATGTGTTACCGTTCTTTGTGCGTTCATCATGTAGAGATTGTCAGGCAAGGCACGCGCACGTAAAGGCCTAGTCTGTGGTTGCATCTCCGCTCTTACTCATTCAATGAGTATGCTTTGTTTGTGATGCACGTCCCCCACTGGCTGTCCCAACTTGTCCCGCTGTCGCCAGTGGGATGGATCATACACTCTTCTTATCATCTGAATCGTTACTGGCTGCTGTGGCCGCTGCGACAGCCATGCATGTGGCGATGCATCGTGTTTTTGCTCCGTCCACTTTCCCGCAGCGGCCACTTGCTGACCTCCCCTGTCTTTCCCTATTCCTCATCCGATTCCTCTGTGTCGGACGAACAGGCGGATGATGAGAGAGATGGGGGAAGTGGGTAAGGGTATCGATGGACACACGAGCAGGGAGAAGGGGAGCATTATCAGGAGAAGGATTATGGACTTGGGAAGAGGATTACGAGAAGGATGGCGAGGAGGAGGATTTCTCCGTGGTATCCTCCCCGCCACCTTTCTTCTCCATCTTGCTCCGCCGTGTAACCCCACCAATTCATCCAGAAACGATGCCCAGGTGAGTTACCCAGATCAGGCATGTGGGGGAGCACGTAGTGTAGTACAGGCTGGGAAGCCGTCATAACCTAAGAGGGAGAGGATGAGGAGGACCCCGAGGAGGAGGAGGAGGAGGGGGAGGAGGAGGAGGGAGCAGGGAGAAAGGAGGAGAAGGATTACGCGGATGAGGAAAGGGAAGAGGAGAGGGAGGGCGAGCAGAAAGACCAGAGGCCTTCAGGATGCTTCTCGGAGTCTTTTGGATGTCTCTCAAGAGCTTCTGGTAGGCCTGTTTGGGCGCCTTAGGGGCCTCCTGGCGTCCTGGGGGCCTCTTGCAGCGTCTTGGGTGCCTCGGGGGAGCCTCTTGGGGTCTTTTAGGGGTCTTTGGGAGCCTCTTTGCTGCTGCAACCGCTGGTTTCGCCCGGGGCTGGTTTCGCCCGGCTGGTTTCGCCCGGCGCTGGTTTCGCCCGGGTTGGTTTCGCCCGACGTTGGTTTCGCCCCGTTGGTTTCGCCCGTCTGGTTTCGCCTGGCTGCGTTCGCCCGGCTGTTTTCGCCCGGCTGCTGGAGGAGGTGCAGGAGGAGGAGGAGGAGGAGGAGGAGGAGGAGGATAATGACGAGGATGATGACGAGGATGATCGGGGGGGGGTGGAGGAGGAGGAGGAGGAGGAGGAGGAGGAGGAGGAGGAAGAGGAGGAGGAGAAAGAGGAGGAGGAGGAGAAGGAGGAGAAGGCAGGACGAGGAGGAGGAGGAGGAGGAGGAGGAGGAGGAGGTGGGGGAGGTGGGGGAGGAGGGGGTGGCTGTGGAGGTGGTGGAGGAGGTGGCTGAGAGAGGGCAGGACGGAGGGAGGAGGGAACAGGGTTAGGGCCGCCGGACCCGACCCGACCCGACCCGTCCGTTAGGGTCCGCCCGTCCCGACCCGACCCGACCCGCCCGTTAGGGTCCGCCCGACCCGACCCGACCCGACCCGACCGTTAGGGTTCTCGCGTGCTCTCTCGATTATGCACCACACTTTAATGTCCCGCCCGCCCGACCCGACTCGCACGTTAGGGTCCGCCCGCTCGTCCCGACCCGACCCGCCCGTTAGGGTCCGCCCGACCCGACCCGACCCGACCGTTTGGGGTTCTCACGTACCCTCTCGATTATATGCCATATGCACCACACTTTAATGTCCCGCCCGCCCGACCCGACCCGCCCGTTAGGGTTCGCCCGCCCCGACCCGACCCGACCCGCCCGTTAGGGTCCGCCCGACCCGACCCGACCCGCCCGTTAAGGCTCTCGCGTGCACACTCGATTATGCACCACACTTTAATGTCCCGCCCGCCCGACCCGACCCGCCCGTTAGGGTCCGCCCGCCCGTCCCGACCCGACCCGCCCGTTAGGGTCCGCCCGACCCGACCCGACTGTTAGGGTTCTCGCCTCGAGAACCCTCGGGGTCTCTCGCATGCCTCTGCCCGCAGCCGCCTTCCGGCTCCGCTCGGGGCTTTGCGTTTTCGCCGGAATGTCCAGGCTTGACGCCATGCGCCCCTTCCCGGTTCGCAAGCGGCCCGCTGCGGCCGTCCCTGACGGCAGTGGCCCTGCCCGCCGAGGCCGCGCGGCTCCGGGCCCGGCGCCCGCAGCGCCGCAGGCGATCGACGTCCCCGACTCTCCAGACGCGGCACCGCCTGCCCCTGCACAAGCCGCGGCTGCCCCAGCGCTGCCGACAACTTACCTGCTGCCAACAAGCCGGGGGGGCACGAAACTGGTGCACGAAGCATACACCTTCCAGTTCAAGCATGTCATGAAGCATTCGGAGTGGCACTGGTCCTGCGGGACCGCTGGCTGCAAGGCCAGCTGCCGCTCCCTCAAGACGGGCGGCGGCCTCAGCGCTCGAGTGGTGCCCGGACAAGGTGGCGGCGCTGCAGGTGAAGGCGAAGGTGCGTAAGGCGGCTAAGGCACAGCCTCTGGCACTGGCGGTCTCCTTGGCGGCCACGGCGCTGGTGGACCTCACCGAGGACGCTGTCGAGGGCGCGCCGTCCACAGAGGCCCTGAAGAGGCTCGTGTGGAACGTCCGGACTTGGGACGACTAGCGCCGCCGGGCGGAAGGGGAGGCCAAGGGCGAGTTCGCCTGCCTCCACTCCCTTCGGTGGCCCAGCCTGCTGCAGGTGCAGGGCACGGACCCCGTGCCCTACGACAGCGGTCCGGGGGACTCTAGGATGGTGCTCTTTGGCTCGCCGGCGTGCCTGCGGGCGCTGCGTTCCTCACAGGCGCATCTGGCCCTCCTCCTGCTCCTCCTCCTCCTCCTCCTGGTCGTCGTCGTCCCCGTATTCCTCCTCCTGTTCCTGGCCGTCGTCCTCGCCTTCGTCGCCCCGTCCCTCCGTGCGAGGTCTGGTTCGCAGACGGGACGTTCAAGATCGCCCCGCTGTTCTGGCCGCAATTCTACACAATCCATGGCTCCGTGAACGGATTCACCTTTCCGTGCGTATACGCACTTCTCCCTGGAAAAACGAAGGCCGTCTACAAGGCGCTTTGGTCCACGCCGCCCACCTCGCTGCCCTGGACACGTTCCCCCGGGAGCACGTCCAGGGCTGCTTCTTTCACTTTAAGCAGGCTCTGCACCGGAGGCTCAGGCTCTCGGACTTCAGACCCGCTACGTGGAGCAGGCGGACTTCCGCTCCCGGATGCCCCAGCTCGGGGCTTTAGCTTTTCTGCCCGCCGGGGCTGTCTACAACGAGTTCTGCAAGGTCGCAGAGACGTTTGCGCCGGACGAGGTGGGGCGGAGGCCCCGGCCAGGCGCCGCTGTTTCCGCCCATGTTCTGGTCCGTCCACAACCCCGCAAAGTGCGGGGACTGCTTGACAACCAACAACGCTGAGATGTTCCACCAGAGGTTCGCCACCCACCTGGTACAGAACGCCACGCGCCCCGCTGCGCTGGCGTTCTCGATGTCGTTGAGGAAGCAGCAGGCGATCGCCAACAATGGTCGGCCAGGGGGCCCGGCGGAAGGCGGGTGCGAGGACCGTCGCCCGGACCACGACGCTGCAGCGCCACGTGCGGACGTACTGCGCCAACTTGCTGGTGCCAGGGGCCGCGCCCGACCTGCTCCGGGCCGCGGCCGCCGTTTACCAGCGCGAGTGAGCGCGGGCGCGGAGGAGGAGGAGGAGGAGGAGGAGGAGGAGGAGGAGAAGGATGAGGAAGAGGAGCAGGAGGAGGAGGAGGGGGGACGACAGGAGGAGGAGGAGGAGGCGGAGTGAGGCAGGATTGGAGGAGGAGGAGGAGGAGGAGGAGGAGGAGGAGGAGGACGAGACGGAGGAGGACGAGGACGAGGAGGGCCTGAAATTTGCCCAGAATCCGCCTTTGGTCCAGAGCGGAATTTCGGACCCAAGCTCCGGTAATCGCAGTTCCCTGGTAGAAACCGCCCAGGCTGGGGAGGAGGAGGGGGAGGAGGAGGGAGAGGAGGAGGAGGAGGGGGAGGAGGAGGAGGAGGAGGAGGAGGAGGAGGAGGAAAAGGAGGAGGAAAAGGAGGAGGACGAGGAGGAGGAGGAGGAGGAGGAGGAGGAGGCGAGCAGCCTGCAGGAGTTTTCCGAGAAACCGAAAAACCCTGGACACATGAAACCCCTAGCCACTTAAGGCGGGAGGGGGAGGCGAAACCTCAGAAAGTAATGCCGAAAAAAGTTCAAGCGCGGGGGGGCAGCGGGGCCCCCGTCTTGGGGTGAAAGCCCCGCTCCACCAGGTCGGCCTTCCTCTTCTGGTTGGCCCTGGTGGCGGGATTGGAAGACGGCCCCACGCACTTCGAATTCAGATTCGAGCGTCCGCTCCACCCCTCCTCCCCCGACGACGAGGCCCCACACTGGGTGCAGCAAACCATGGTCCCGTGGGTGACTAAAACGTGTTTTAGCTCCCTGAAAGCCTCGAGCCCGTCTGGTGGTTCCCCTGGCGGCGCAGGCACGGACCCCAGGACCTCCTCAGCCGCCGCCAGGGCCTCGGACACGCACGGACCCGTAACAGGACCCCTGAAACCGTGGACCACCAGACCGGGCTTCGAGAAAAAACACCGCGCAGCCCACGCCTTGGTGGGCAGCGGCTCACGTTCGCCATTCAAAAGATGGGCGAGGTGCCCGTCAGTGCGGGCAACACACAAACATCTGCGGCACCGAACCTCCATCGTCGGCTCGAC